GAACGAACAGCCTGAGCACTGTTCATACATAGAGTTTCCGGAGGCAAGCCATTTCGGAAGTGGATGCCGCTCCTGCTTCCAGGCTTGATTTAGTCAGGAAGCTCCAGCCAACACTGTCCGCCATGGGTGCCCATTACCATGATTGCCACATCACTGTCACAGTCTTCAGCATCACAGCAACCACAGTTACCTCTGTACAGCAATGCACAGACCAGTGCTATACCGCCTAGAAGAATGTTTGACAGGAAAACAATTTGAACCTGGCCGAGGGCCGCAGATGAAAATCACCCACCTTCGGCTTGGTAGCATAACTTCCTTTCCACTAGGCCAACGTAGCTCTCTCTTTGTCATTGTCCTTATTGTTGCTGTTGTTTGGTGCCATCGAGTCGTAGACGACTCATAGCGACCCTATAAACGAACAGCCTGAGCACTGTTCGTACAGAGTTTCCGGAGGCTTAAGGCCCCTTCCTGGCTCAAACCCTGGGCCCAGCCTGCCTGGCTTGCCTCGCTCCCAGGGACAGAGCAAACCTGCACGTCAAACACATGGGGAGGGGGGTAAGCACTCCACTCCAAAAACTTGCCACGATTCCTGCCCTCACACAACCATGCTCCTTCTGGCATATACATACATACATACATATATACACACACATATACACAAACTCACTGCAAATGCTTAATAATTAGAAGAATAAAAAGCAGTAGAGATCCAAGGGGAAACAACTGGTATCTATTTGCCTGGAGCAATAGAGAAAACAGAGTCAGGGATGAAAGGAGGAAATGGTGGGTGTGGTGAATTGCTTCCATGAACATGAAACAGGACTCCTAAAACACATAATTAAGCTCACACCCAGGATTAATCTTAAAAAAAAAGAATTACCCTTAATTTTATTGGGGGAAATGTGCACATGTTCCTAAGTAAGCAAGAGTGATGAGACTTTTTATTGTTTGACATACTTTGGCATATTATCAGGAGAGGTTAGCCCTTGGAAAATGACATCATGCTTGCAAAAGTAGAGGGTGAGCAAAGTGAGAAAGACTCTCAAGCAGACACGGTGACACAGTGACTGTAACACTGGACTTAGGTACAGCAGAGATTGTGAGGACGCCATAGGTTGGGGCAGGGATTCCATGTTGTACATGGGGTCACTATGAGTCAGAGTAGATTCTACAGCACCTAACAACAAAGAGCACCAAATGTCCTATCACTGAAAAACTCACCCTCATTGTCAGTGGGTCAGGATGGACTCACAGCTGATCCTCCAGTGAGTTTTCAGAGAGTGTAAATCGTACGGAAAGAGATTTGCTCATTTTTCTTCCATGAGGCAGCTAGTGGATTTGAACCCCTCTCTTTGAATGGGCTACGCAACTTTCTACAGACTAGCTCAACAATGCTCCCCAGCACCACAATTCTTCTCATTCTTACTGCTGTGGAGTCTGAATCGAATCATAGTTGATCCTCCAGAGAGTTCTCCCAGGTTGTGAATACCAGGGAAGAGATTACCCATCTGTCTCCGCCCAGGATTCGAACTGGTTGACGGGCATCACTCTTGGTAAACTGTGCAACTCCCTACAGACTACGTCACCCAGGGCTTCCATAAAAATGAGTACAATTATTTCAATATTATAAATGTTTGCATAATCTGCCCTAGTAACATGGCTTCTCATTGTGTTTTAAACCTTTTCAGTTACTTTGTTTCCCCTCAAGTATTTTCTTTTTTTTTTAAATGTTGGGTTTTTTTAATTTTTATTGTATTATTTTTACATGTACCGTCAAATCAGACCTGACTGGTACAGGAGGAGATTGCCCCCTCCTTCTCCAGCAGAGCATCTGGTGGATTTGAACCATGTACCTCTGGGATTGCAGTGCAGCGTCTTGCCACTAAGCCACCAGAGGTCCCTTTCCCCTCAAGTATTTTCTAACTAGAATTTAACTCTGAAATGAAGTATACGTACATTATGTTTATGTGGCTGCAACTTTATCATAAAAGAAAGGGCTAACCAAACCCATACAAACAATACAAATTGTGTCCAGTGCCAGGGAGCTTATAGGTACCTAGTGAATACCGAACCCGTGGAGCTGGTGACCCGGGTCTTTGCTCAAGAGGATGAAATACCCCAGAAGAAATGCCTTCTCAAACTAGGGATATAACGAATCACAGCGTTGAGATCTCAGTCCTGGATTGTGTGTCTCTCGATGTAGGGCGCACGTTAAAATATTAACATTTTAACTGGAGTGGTAGCATTATAATATTTGCTTATTTTTGTGTTATTTCCAAATTCCAATTTAATAAAATGGGAGTAAAAGGTCCAAGGTTTTAATTCTACCACTCATTGACTAGTGCCTTAGTTCCATCACGTTCTCACCTATGAAGCAACGACAATTCTCAGTATCTTCAGGGTCTTTAAACAGTGCGACCCCAGGATCCTGCCTTCCGGCTTTTCGCTAGCGGAAGTATTTTGGCCCACTTGCCTCGCCGTCCGCGCAGGCTTCCAGAGGCAGCCGCAAGCTCCGCCCCTCGCGCCCGGGACGGCGGGAAAACCCATTTGACAAGAACTCTCTGCAGAGCCTTGTGTTCTGGGCATTGGGTTCGCTTATCCAGCCCGGTTCCAGTTGCAAACACTCAGCCTGGAGACTTCTCCTGGGTGGCGGGCACCCCTACCTTACCGACGCCCTCCCAGGTGTCTCGCCGCCCGCGCTTTCTTAGCGCCTCTTCCCGCGTTCGACTGGTTGAGCTGGGCCGGGCCTCCGCAGCCGCTCCGGGCCGATAGGCACAGGGCATTGCCGCCCTTCTTTATGTTCCTCCGGGAGCAGGCCGCCTCCATGGCTATCATGGGGATTGGACCAGTGCAGGCAAATTCTTAGAAACGCAGGGTACCAGGCAGCGAAGAGCATGGTAGGGGTCCTTACCATGGCGGCAGCGGCTGCTCGCCCTCCAGTGAAGGACTACGAGATTGAGGTGAGATCGAATGCTTGTTGCATTGTTTCCTCTGTCTGATAGAATTGTTTCTTAAGAATCGTAATAAGCCTTGACGTATTTGGCTCATGAGATGTTTATGGCCTTACTGTTAATCAGGATTTCAGGTCCCACAGCCAGTTCCAGATCCCGAAAGCATGTTGGACTGTGATGTTTTGGACTTTTGAGATGTCATGATCCAGTTCTGGGTCCATGATATATAGAATCCTAGAATTTTAGAGTGGAAAAAGAACTTTATGTTCCACTCCTTGGAGAGGGACATCATGCAAATGAGAGGAAGACCCTCAACGAAATGGATTGATGCAGGAAAGTGGGCTTATGTGTGTCAGAGATGAGCATGGCACAGGGTAAGACAGAGTTCAGATCCTTTGTTGATAAGGCCCCTATGAGTTGTCCTGGCCTTCTAGGCACCTAACAACAACAGCCAATCCTTCTGTCTGTTCTGGGAACATCTCTTAAGTGTCACTGCCCATTAAGCCACTATCAGGAAGTAGCACATTAAGATAATGGCTTTATTTGTACCATATCATCTCATAATAACATTCACACTGTATGTGCTCTAGTATATCTGAGTATATAGTCTAATATATATGAGACATATGGTAATTTATGGGGAACTGTGGTGTCATAGTCCATAGGACGTGGTCCTGAGAACTGATAGGCCGCACTTCTGGTCTTTTGAATTCACTAGAAGACACAGAAGAATTTAATGAAACAACATATGAGCGAGAGCCTATGGTGATGAAAGAAGTAGTTCAGGCTGCTTTGAAGGAAATGGCAAAAAATAAGGCTCCAGGAATAGATGGTATACCAATTGACATATTTCAGTTAAC